AAACATGTTGTTTTCATCAGCCAGGGAAATTCGACGTAAAGAAGTTATAGAACGACACCGAGTACTAGAAAGAATAATTGAAACTATTAAGTGTATCGGAAAAAATAGTATGAGTTACAGATCTCATACAAATGAATCTTCATATACTTTAGTAAATAATAATGTGAGTCATGGCAACTTTTTAGAATTATTATGTTTAATATCAAAATTTGATGATGTATTAAGACACCATTTAGAAAACGTAATTAATAAAAGCAAAAACAGACTTGAATCAAATTCTACTATAACTAAAGGCAGAGGAAATCTTATCACCTTTATTTCAAAAACTACAGTTACATATATCATACAAATACTCAAATCATTAATACAAGAAAAAATTGTAGCAGACATAAAAGAAGCAGGAATATACTCCATTCAAATTGACAGCACTCAAGATGTATCAGTTAAAGATCAGCTCTCAATAATTATACGCTATGTAACAGATCGAGTTGAAGAGCGTCTATTATCCATGGTAGAAAGTCATTCAGGCGAAGGACGCTATTTATTTGAATTAACTGAAAAAACGTTATTATTACATGAACTTGACATAGCTAATTGCATTTCAGATAGCACAGATGGTGCATCAAACATGCAAGGTCAGTATGCAGGATTTACTACATGGCTTGAAAATAAATCTCCAGGACATATCCATACATGGTGTTACGCACACGTGCTGAATTTAGTTATGAAAGATACCAGCGAGACTAATGTGCCCTCTATTAGTTTATTTGGTCTGATAAACAAATGTGCTGTATTTTTTCGTGAATCATATCGTAGAATGGACACATGGGTTAATCAATTAGAAAAATGTCATTCAAAACAAAATTCATTAAAACGTTTGATCAAAGCAAATTCAACACGATGATGGTCAAAGAGTAATGCACTTAATAGAATTTTTGGCCAGTATGGAAATTCAGATACAGCGCTGTTTGTAGATTTAGTTCATTCGTTATATTTAATATCATCGTCAGAAAAATTTAATAAAAACACTAGATCCGACGCTTTGACATTACTTAACAGCATAACTAAATTTGAGATTATAATAACAGCCAATATTTACTTGAAAATATTTCAAACAACCACTCCTCTGTCCAACTATTTACAAACTTCTGGACTAGATTTTATGCAAGCTCATCGTCTAGTTCGATCGTCAATTGATACATTACAAAAACAATCCAGATGTTTTGAAGAAATATATGAAACTGCTAAAACTTTCGCAGTCACTCAAAACAAAAAGTTAGAAGAAATGGATTCTGAAGTTGAAGTAGAAACATCATTTCCGGTCACTAGATGTCGTGGTAAAAAAGATAAATATAAAACTAAAAAGACTGATGAATTACCAGCTGACGCCACCCAACGATATAAAATAAGTGGGTTTAATTGCATAATGGATTCTATTATCTCAAGCTTACAGGAACGATTTACTAAGCACAAGGACTTATACACCGACATGTCATTTTTTGACCCAAGAAATTTTCCAATTAAATCTGAAAGTATATCAGGGAAAAATATTTTTAAAAAAATAACTCAGCTAATATGTCAGCATTTGAATGAAAATAAAAAGTCAGAGTTCGGTGATGATGAATCTCGTATGACAGAACGAATTGAAGTTTTATTACGAGAAGAGTTAATAGATTTTTCACAAAAATGGCCCTATATTAAAAAAACTATTCAAGATGAATATGAACACGAAAACATCGATAATCCAGGTAAAATAATATACACTTGAGTATTCTGTAAATTAATATTTTATGGTTTGTATAGACAGTGTTGATGAAGATGATGAATCGGAGTCTGTAGTGAACGACGTATGCACTATAATTAAAAAGGAATCTTGCAGAAATTGTTTAAGATGTTGTTTTACTTTATTACATAAGTATAACATGTATAGTAAAGCATATGTTATGCTATATAAAGCTTATAAAATATTATTAACTTTATCCATTACGCAAGTAGCTTGTGAACGAGCCTTCTCAAAATTAAAGCAGGTACTAAACATTACATTTTTAAATAATAAAATAAAATAATATTTATTTATTTATTGAATTTTTAATTGTTTTATATACTAAAAAAATGAATGTAATTATCTTTTTCAGGTGAAAACCGTTTATAGGAATAGTATGACACAGGACAACCTAGAAGCTTTTGTTTTAATGGCTACAGAAAAAAGTATTTTAAGTGATATACCGTACCAAACTGTCATAGACCGTTTAGCTCAAAAAAGCAAAACACTCCACAAATTATTAATTCCTTGATCAAATAAATAATCATTACCATATATTTCTAAAATGTTTTATCTATCTTCTGTTAGTATTAATTATAATTTGAATATTCAACTGAGAAAGTGTGTGGTATTTTAAACGTAAGTAGTGTACTAGTGTAATAGTGTATAAGATTAGACCTTAGACAATATGTTAATATAATGCTTAAGCAGTTCCGGCACCGCCGTCGATGTCACAAAAAAAAAAGACTTTAGCCAATGGTTTATGGGCAATGGGCCGCTTGAAAAAAAATTCCCGGGCCGCTCTGAAGGAGCCAGTCCGCCCCTGCCTAGTTATTAATATCGTAAGTGCGCACCACTTTTAAAGAAATTAATTTTTATATTGTTCATCTTACTATCTTAGACAACATAACAACTTTATAAAATTACATAAAATATAAATACTAAATAATTTAAGACTAAACATAACTCGATAGTACTGAAAATATTGGTATTTTTTTTGTGCTTAGTACCTTAGGCTGTTCGCCACAACCACCACATTTTCCATGCTTCTCTACAGTCTCCTAGAATTTGCAGGTCACTCTTAACTCAGTCTAGCGTTTTGCCTTGGCCTTCTTAATAGCTTCTTTTCATTGGGAATTCATTTTGTTGCCTCTCAAGTTATCTGAGTGGTGTTCTTCATATTATGTGTCCGCCCAGTTAGTACTCTTGGTTTTCAGTGTTGCTACTAAATCTGCCTCACTGAATAATTCCCTAAGTTCTAAATTTGTCCATCGTTCCCACTGGCCGGTTGAGCGAACTTTTTTTGGGTCTAATATCTTTCTTAACATATTCCTCTTGAAATTTGCTTATTGGTATTATTATTTGTAAAACATATATTTTTACGAATAACAAACAATTATTAGACATTTTAATTAAAATTATAAAATATAGTCATTACTCATTAGTCATATTTCTATTAGTATTTTCTATATTAGGTATATCATGAAAAATATAATATTTAACAAAATAATGTTTTAAAAATAAGATTTATAAAAAAATTTAAAAAATGGAATCTCCTTTCAGTCTAGGTAAAATTGATTTGATCTGACTTAATTTATTATTTGTATACAAAGATAAGCTGATAAGACAAATTGATTATTATATTAGTTTATTACCATGGGAACCTTATAGGATCCAAACAGATGACAGGATTTTGCCCATAGTCCTTAAACGGCTTAAACTACTCGACAAGCAATGAGTGCTAGGTGGATTTATAAAGATAAATCCATCTTGAATGAATGTATAGAAAGCGTAACAACATAGACTGAGTTTTTGATTACTCGGTTACTCGCGTGCATGGAAGTGAGGGTAGTAGTGTAACATATTATACAGCTCTATAAATTATTGTATTTTATTCTTAAAGACAGGCTAAATCAAATAATTTTTTCGTAAAGATAGCCTACATCACTACGAGATGTTGTTGTACACCTTTCTTGTCCAATAGTAAAATATAAGGTCTATCTGCAATGATTATGCCGGACAGTGACGTACAGACAGAGTAATTGCTGTTTTTTTAAATTTTGGAATTATTGTTAAATACTGAATTTTGGTATAGGAAATGTACAATTTTTGTGTAGCAGGTTCTGTAAAATTAGGTACAGAATTGTAAAGATTGAGCTATAAAATTAGTAAAATTATATTTAGAATAGTTAGATTAACAATATAACTTCAAAACCTTATTTTTTAAATTTTTTTCAGTAAGAATTTTTTTTTTGTGATTGGAATTACTTTATTTTATAGTAATAATAAAAAACATGTAAATACTAAAAATACAATAAAACAAAAAAATAGATTAAGGTTAGCTTTAGATTACATTCATAATTATTCCCATAGTTTTTCAATTTCCCCCATTATAGAATTTTTAGATTAAAGCTAATTTAAAATCATCTGGGAAACTACAATGCTTAATACTTAAATTGTATATAGGCACAAGTGGATTAACAATTTGTTCTGAATTACTTTTAAATATTGTAACTGTTATCATATTCTATCAGCAGAGTCTTCTCCATAGTTGCTTGTAATTAATATAATACATCTGAGACATAAATTATTTTAGAAAAAAATCGTCAAAATATTGTACTTCAAATTTTTTATTCACGTTTGAATTCTTGTTTGTGTTTCTCGTGAATTTATCAGCCCGATTTTTACCGGCGTTTATGAAATAATTATTTAATACATTTCAAGCATCTAATGGATCATCTGTTGTATCTTGTATGATGTGTTGTACTGTCATTAACTTTTAATACTTCAGTTTTATATTTGTTTTTGTAGATAGTACATGTAAGTCAATTTATTGACTTCCAAGTTCCAGGTTAACTTAGGCAAACTTTCTTTTGAGAGTAGGAAGTAGTGAAGTAGTGGATTTTTAGAATAAAGTATAATTTTTCACTACAAATCTAACCCAAGAATTTTTTTTTAAATAATTGCCTGCTGCTATTCGCAGTTCTTAACCTATAGGTTTCTTGCATTTTAACTTGGTTGAATTAAATTTTAACTTAGTTGAATGTTAAATTATGAATACCACTCATAAAATTCTCCACATGTTGTCTTGATTGCAAAATTATTGAATGATTCTTCATTTGTATTAATGTTACTATACCAGTGATAAGTAATATTAGTATCTAAAAACAAAAATATATTTCATTTTTATACCAATCTTTGTTTATTGTGCTCAAATACATAAAAAAAAATATTTTAAGTAATAGCACAACTTGAAATTATTACATACTAACTGATATAACAAGATTCAAGTTTATACTGAATATTCCAAAAGCTGTGATTTCGCTGGATTCAAAAACTGTTATTTGGTTCATAAACAATTTAACCTATAATGCAGAATTATAAAATATTAGTATATTATAATAACATCAATGCACAATGGTATTGTAAATTGTAATTAAATATAAAAAAACGAACAACAGCAGTAAATAACTGTGAAAATAAAATAATTATTTTCTATAAACCATTAAACAGTGATATAGAATGGATCTAGAGAGTGGGCTGACTATCAAAAAAGCAGACAATCATGATGTAAAAGAAAAGAAAAAGTAAAACTATCATGTCTAAGAATAGGACATACTCGACATTCACATGTCTTCCTTATTTAATTTTATTTCGAGTACTTTATACGGGCTGCTACCTGAGGTACAGTTTTTAAAAATGAGACATTATATACATTATATATCAATCCCAAAAATCACTCTTCGTTGAACTCCTTGTAAAAAATTGTTAAGTCAAAAAAAGTAGATATTCATAGAATCCATCAGTCAGTAGAATTTTTTTTTTAATAAAGCTAGACAAACTGATAAGGAATCTTAAATTACATTTTTAAATCTTAGATATTAAAAAAATTTTTTTATGAATTTCTAACTAAATATAATTTGCTAATTGTCGTGATTTTTAGGAATTTTGTCAAAATTCTAAGTGTAAACGCTCATAAAAAATGATTGTGGATTTCCGCTCAACATTTTTTTAATTTTCATTAACAACTTATGAGGAACCTTGTATGACATTTACAAGTTTTTTGACCAAGTGAAACATTTTTTATCGACATTAATTTTAAAAAATTAATAATAATCAAAAATGGCATATGCATATAAATAATTGAACACAAGTCAAAATATTTTGAAAATTGTATGCTATAAAGGAAATGCAAACACAAATATTCAGTGATAATTTCATGTATCTACTATCATATTGTTTAAGTTACACTAACAACCAAAATCGATTGTTTTGAAAACTGGTTCTGCGTAAAAAATCCCGTTTTTCCCTTATTTTTTGTTTGTTTTTCCTATTGCTTTTGAAAACTGTTGGGGATTTTAAATTTTGACCTAACATATACATCAACTAGATTAATTTGTACCAGAAAAGTAACTGTTGAAGAAAATGGAAGCACTTTTACTGCAAGAAACCGTTAAGACAGACACAAAAAAAATATAAATAAATATAAAAACACACATCATTGTAAAATCAATAGATTCATCACTCCGCTCAGAATCTAAAATAATGATATCATCTGTATTACATTGATTATATTATATTTACTTGAATTTTTAGGTTTGCCGATAAATTTGATATCCTTATTAATCGTAAATGTGAAATCATCTTCTGTTTCTGTGGGTATAAAAATACAATATGATGTTATCAATTAAAGTTTAAATAATTAATTCTTTAGATGTTTAATAGGTTATTCGGTGCAATAATAATATATTTATTTTTTTTAAACAATTTTCAGTGTCTACCTCTTTTGTGTATCAATAACTTAGATATTTTCAAAAATTTCTGCGGTAAATTAATAAATTACCTATGACATAGACATAAAGGGAATTTATTAATAAAAAAAATTTTAAAGTACAAATAAATTCGAAAGGATTTATGTAATAAATCCTAGTTTAAGAAATACGAAACATTTATTGTAGTTAATAAATCACACTAGTTCTAAAATAAAATAAACTAAAATAAAATAAAATTATACTTTTTATAATATCTGTATTTCGAAAAAACATTTAAAGACATATATTTTCAGAAAACCATCAATATTAAATATTTAACCACATCAAGTGACTTGACTAGGTATTTAACTGCACGTGGACTAAAAGGAACAGTGAGAATTTAAATAACCTACTAGGTATCAAGTAGGTTTACTAGGTATATGATAATTAAGTGACTGAAATAGGTCACTTCTAACTCTTATTGCCTCACAATATATTATACTATTTAATTTACTTCATTTATGGATAGTCATGGTATTAGTTATTTTAGTGTAATCAATATTGTTATACATCTTATTTAAAAGCATAGAAGGCAATACGCAGAAATTGGTAAATAATAAATATATAACCTCAACAATTAAATTACTATAATAACTGAAGGTGGAAATAAAGGAACAGACATAAAGGTCATTATTTATGTATAAATAATTAAATATTCGGTTATTAATCATTGTTACTTTTTCGTGAACACGAGATGCAGCTACGATAACAGCTAAAACAAATATAACGTTTTTGAGGTTGAGAAGTTGAGGTAATAATTTTCTTAGAAAATTTGAAAAAATGAATTTTTCAGAATTCGTATCATCAAAAAACATAAAATAATAAATTTTCAGTAGCATATCAAAATAACTAAATACAAAAAATCCTAAAAGTAATTGTCCGAAACCGAAACTGAATAATCTCAATAAGTCCGAAAGTTCAGCGTGTAACAACCGTATTTTATCCAGCGTCATTTCTGTCATGGAACGTGTCCATTCCTCAGGAAAGGGTAGAAATCCGGGAAGAAGATATTTCCAAGAATCATTCAACGTCTGAAATCTATACTCTAATTGTTGCAGGAAAAAATGTGTCAAAAAAATAACTGCAACATCCACTATAGATTCTATCCGAAAAAAATACAATTTGATAACAATGAAGTTCATAGTCTTTGGTGGCCATAAAATAACATAGGCAAATGTCTCAGCAATATAAAAAAATATTGTAAGAATGAAAATTGAATTCCAATAATTTTTCCTTGGTGAATGCTGATGAATCACCATAAATCTTGGAAGTGATTTTAGTTTTTGATCGTACTCGATGATGCCGTTCATCAACCTACAAATAACAAAATAAGAAAAATATAAGATTATATTATATTTGCAGTTTATACACTGCATGGAGCACAATCAACATTAAAATTTAATATTTGTATTCATGCAATTTTAATGAAAATTCATTACTCATCCTAATATACAATCGTTATTCCATCACCCGAATAACCAAAAATAGTAATATCAAAAATATTTTTACAAAATATGTAGGTACATGCTTGAGATATAAAATATTTGAAAAAAAAATTTGAATTAAGTTAAATAACTAAATATAAAATAACTGACACGTTCTTTCACTGAAATTCTGTCCACTATTCAGAAAATTCTTTATATAGAAGTTTGTAGCTTGGTCTCAAAAATACGTTTGGTATTTGGGGGTTCTCAGTATTGTTCGTTAGAAAAGTAATCAGTGTGTATGTTTGAAGAGGAGGAATATCAACATTTTGCAAATCTTAAATAATTGCTTGCTAACTCTTAGCGTTTTTAGTTTATGTATTTGTTATTGAGGATGGTGTTTTATTTTATCATGAAATTAAAATGTACCTACTGTAATCAACCAAGTGAAATCTTATATACTATGATATACACACAAAACCTGCTGGTTACTGTTTAGTTATATAAAAGAGTTGTTACTCGTTGTTTTTGAAAAAAATTAAGTATAAACTATAAGTTATTTTAAATTTCGTAATTGTTTGATATTATTGCTATAATTATCTTACTGAATCACCCGTGTTTCCGATACTCTTGATGAAATAATGACGGACCATAATTTGAACAAATATATTAGTTCAAAAAATGAGAAATTTGTGTATATAGTGTATGTGAATACTATTAGCATAATCATTCGTGTCAATTCTAGAGATTTATATATTGTTTCTGTACTCTGAATTATTAATCCACTAGGCTCTAATATATAAGACATGTCAATGATGCCAACAAACTTGCACAAATATAAAATATTCCTCAACGTTACATTATACACATTCGTCATTTTAAGAAAATGTTGTTTTGATACTAAATAGGTAATGAAAGTTTTATTTGATATTTAAAAACAAATATTTATTATTTTTATGGAATTATAAATTATATTATTTCAAACGATTATAATAATTTAAAAATAAATGAATACAAACATAATTTTATTTGGAATTATTATTTATTAAGTTAAGTCAATAATCATTATACTGTCACAGTTTAAAAATTCGTCAAAATGATAGGTTAGGTTAACAAATACGTTGAAAGAGACAGCAAAATTATGACGCATCAAACATCTTCCACAACGCTTTCCCCGTTGTACAGGAAAGCTATACGCCAGACGTTCGTGGTTAAATGCCGTTATAAATGGTAATGCACTAAATAATGCCGAACCTAAATATACAACTGAATCCTCACGTGGTCAGCAGACGAGACGAGTGTTTATAACCTCGTTATATCATATATTGCAGCACGTTTTCTTTTTATCGCCTTCGAGCCACCGAACACATCCACAAGTCCATGCAAACGAAATTTGATTGTGAACGGCGTCAGTATATCTATAGAATATAGATGCCCTCCCGTGCTCTGTACAGTAAAAAGTGAATCGTTTTTATCAATTTTGTGCCACCGTCCGTAAGCTGTTATGTGCATATGCATATCAATCGCTGCTACACCGACCCCGTAACCGTCTACATTCCATAACGAGCCCTTGTTCGTACACCAAAAGTACAGTGCCACATATAACTGCAGGATTGAATTCGCTGTGGTGATTAGTCAGTTTGTCGCCCCTCTCCCCCTGTATGTATTAAAATTAAAATTTAAACTAATTTCGCTGTACTATTGGAAGAGTATTAATGTATCTATAAAAAAAGAATCTTGAACCAATAATATATGAATTGTACGTATACAAAAAAGAAAATATAATAAAAGTTAATGATATTACAATCATAAAGAATTCAATTTCGTTACAACTTAATTTATGTTGTTATTGAAATATTGATAAGTAATATTTGATACTTGTAACCGAATAGTTTTTATTATAATACAATTATAAATTGAATGTCGAACAGTCGTTGTAATTGAAAAATAAATAAATTCAATAATTTTATGAATTATTAGTGAGAAATGTACTTATATAGATCATTATTCTACTGTCATGGTAAATATAGTACTGTCAAAATATAATTAAATATTGGGTTGTTTATTCTGTTTGTGCATAAACAGTTCTTAATATTTTAGGTTAATAATATGATTTTATCATGGAATTATGCAGTTTAATACAAATCCTATTAAAAATAAACTATTAACAAAACTCAATTTCACATTTAAATAGTTATACTTTCAATATAGAACAAGGGTTTTGAAGTATTTGAACCCTTTACGGGTCAAGTGTTAAAATTTGAAAAACTTTTTAAGTAATACATTTAATCAAGAAAAAATAAAATTTTTTTCTTAAATCAATTAGTTTTTGAAAAAGACTCACATGTTGTATAACAGATTTATATTGGGTAGGTATCTAACCGAATGACGATCGGATTTGAAAATTCACGGATTAAGTTTTTGATAATTATATTAATGAAATAGGATTCCTCGTTATTTTGTTAACTGAAAAGTCACATTTAATTTTTTTGATTGTTGGAAGTTGAATTTGTTTACTGGATTTTCACTGGATTTCTCATGGAACGATTTTCCTACTTAGTTTTAATTTTAATACAAATAACTGTAGATACTTGAAATTCACACAAAATTTTTATTTTATAATTTCCTATACTCGACAAAAATTTTCAAAATGTTTTAATATGTTTTGAACTCATTACTGACATTTTCAATTTCCAATTTTTTTGGTTTTATTCCGGTAAATGTCAATACAATGTTATTCGTTGGGTCAAAAAGTTTGAAAATCTAATACAAGGTTTCTGATGTCTCCTCACAGAATCTATAAATTTAGTTTGCATTCATTTTACAAATTTATGTTTAGAGAGAGGATAAATAAACTGAAATTTTACTCTCATAATATAATATGATTAAATGTGATACGTACTATGGTGTGGAGCATTCGCTGACCGCAATCACATAATATTGCTGAAGTTATGCTGCACCTGGTGTCGTTTGTTCCTAGATGCGTGATCACGGCTGTAGATAGGATGGTTGCACATCGAGACGTTAAAATGTGTAAAACAAATGTTCTTATCAAAATTATTGAAGAACCTACAATTTTTTACAGCGCTGTCTAGCATCTACAATAGTAAAACTATAAATTGTAATCATGGCTGTACCTATCTGTAATTACTTTTATTTTTAGACTATATAGCAGGGGTGGCCAAACCGCGGCTCGCGAGCCGCATGCGGCTCGCGTCATAGACTTTTGCGGCTCGCATCTTATCGTAACCTTTTTACAAAAAATTTGAAAACATGAATTTATGTATTTGAAAAAGTATAATATTTTATTAAATTACAGTGTATAGAAAAAAATTTGTAAAAATAAAGTGTTCTTGATATAATTTTTCTTCATAGACTATTTTCTTATTTGTTGTGTGTTTATTTTGCATGTAAGCTTTTTAAAATCAGGACTATATGTTGTTAACGCAGTCCTTAACAATTCAGTTAAATGATCATCCGTTAATGTTGATCGATGTTTAGATTTAATCATTTTCATGGTTGAGTATAGAGACTCACAAGAATATGTTGTTCCAAAAATCGATATTAACTTTTGAGCGCAAAGAGTAATTTTTGGATATTTAATAACAGGCACATGTTTCCAAAATTCCAACAAAGAATGACAACTGTATTTGAACTGCTTCAGTCCTTCATCTTCTAATAATTCTAAGAGTTCAATTTCTAAAGCTGCCGTATCCATTGAAATCGATTTTAATATTGGACATCCATTTTCAATAACATTAATGACAAAGGGATTTTCTAAAAATGCAATCGAAGGTTTAAGTAATTTCAAGTCTTTAAATCGATCTTCAAAGTGAGTTGATAAACACTCTAATTTTTGTACATAATCTTCACAATTCAATTTTATTGCTATTCCAACCAAATAATCCTCAATTTTTTTTAAGTACGGAAAATGGTTTAAATTATTTATTCTTAAGTCTCTTTGAAAAAGTTTAAGCTTATTTTGGAAACTAAAAATGTCGTTCTATGAAAAAGAACTCTTCTTCCCATTGTAATTTGAATTCTCTGTGTTCTTCTTCATACTTGCGTTTCTTAGACATAATAATTATTTTATTAATGTTGTGTTGTTACACTTACACGCACGACGTCAAAAAGCACTATGAAGACATAATATCCATTATCCATGTGTGTCTATGTCTGTATGATATTTTTATATTTATGGTATTTATGAAGATAAAATTTAATTTGAGATTATCGTACAATTATTGTTATCGTATTCTTCACATTTTATTAAATACGATACCTTATCTTATTTTATTTACAATATCACATATATATAAAAATTATATAGTAATATGACCTTTTTTTTTTACATTTTGGCTCTTTCATATTTATTAATATATTTGGTGGCTCACGAGTCTCTTCTCGCTGGCCACCCCTGCTATATAGACTATATGTATATTCTTAGTTCTTACTCTGTGCTATATAGTCAATAATTCAATATTGATTATAGTATTTATTATTTAAGTATTTTTCCTCATTTGCCAATATTACTTTTTCCTCTATTGTTTGATAAATAATATATAAAATGCCTTACAAATGTTGTACACGTGACTGTTCGTCTTTAAAAACAGTTTTTAGAGTTCCTAAAGATGATTTAATTAAAAATCAATGGGAATTCGTATATAATTTGTGTGCAATAAAAAAAAATACTAGATAGCGCCAGCAAGCAGCTGTAGGTTTTCAACATATTTGATAAGAACTAAGGCTACAACACGATTGCGCAAATTTTCCATTTTTGACCCGAATAATTATACCACGATTTCGCAAAAAATTTGCAACACGATTGCGCCCCAATCCCTTTTTACCTGTTAAAATCACAACACCATTGCGCACCAAATGATATGTGTATATACTATATACTATATAATATATATAATAATTTATATTCAACATAAAATAATGTATACATACAATACATTTTCATATACATGCACTTGAACCATATAACTAGTTATTAGGTCTATGACGACTTAAACTTATTACCTATGAATTCACAATTTTCCTTCCCAATTATTACAGGCTTAGGACTGTAAACAATCGTTGGCTTGGTTAAAAATTGTTTTTTTCTAAATTAGATATGTCATATAAGTCAATATATTTTTTTTGTTCATATAAAAATTATGGTAATAAAATAATAATAATAATTAAAAAATTCTATTGACATAGGTAGTCATAAGTCGATATTTTTTTTTGGTCATATAAAAATAATGGTAGTAAAATATAAAATGGTTATAATGGTTTTTAAAAATTACATTTGGTGACTAGCACAAAAACATGGTCCCATTGCTTGTAAATAGTCATTCATTGATATTTTATTATTTTTAAATTGTTCCCAAGTATCAATTATAAATTTAATGTTGTTTTCTTGCTCTTTTCGTAATTTATTTTTTTCATTACGTTTAATACTATTTATTTTTAAATATGTTTCAGTTTGAATAGCTAATAATATGTTTATTATTTGGAAAGTAGGTGGATGCGAGGTATAAAACTGGGAATTATAGTGCTTATGAAAGGATTCTGGACCATTAGTTGTTCTGACTTCTTCTGATGGTTTATCTGCCCATAAAGTTGGTGGAAATTGTGCATCGGTTTCTACATAGTTTTTAAGTAAATAATCAGCAAATCCAAAATTAGACGTAGGAGCATTTTCAATTAAATGTAAAAAAGCATTTTCTACTAAATTGGCTGGTAGAAATCCTAATGCAAAAAATTTTTTTAGCCAAACACCCAATACAGAACTTGATTTATACTCATTTAATAGCTGATTATCTTTTTGAATATGTCTAAACCAACTTTGATTTAAATGAAACCTACATGCCATAATTCTGCAGTCCGGGAAAATTTCTTTAACAGCGTTATGTGCACTTTTTTCAAAATCGAAATGAAAAGTTGATTGAGACAATGATAGCCGTATATTTATACCAGTCAATTTCAAACACAATTATATAATTGTAAGCCACATATCAATATATGTTTGAGTTGATTTTGAAGTCAAAAAACAAAACACTATAGGTATATAAAAACCATTTTGCAGTATATATGAATAGTATAAAGTTGTTCATAATATTTGGGGGAATGAGAAAACGTCCCATCGGCAAATATATGAGAGCATTGACTTAATATTTCAAGATTAGTAGCACAAGTAAACATTACCGGACTTGAAATTGTTTCCATATGGCAAAATAACTCACCAGTATTACTTATTATATTTTCACGTCTATCAATAATATTTGAACTTTTGATTTTTCAAAATTTTTTGGAATTTTAGGAATACTCTTACGACGGAAATCGTACATACTTTTTCTCCATAACCTCAAATCAGAATGCACAAGTTCAATATCGTTTTCTGCATTTTGAAGTTCAGCTCGAATTATTTTATTCGGCCTTGTTAATAAATCATTTTCGCATTTCCTTTTGATACGGGAATTGATAATTTGCCTATTAACGATATTTTCCGCAATTACATTATGATTATAATGATCATTAAGCATACTAATAACTATTGTAACATCATTATTAACTAGTAGACTAGCAGAACAGTTTTTATTAGTACAACGGTATCGGATACTACCACATTTTTTCAGTACATTGAATTCCCATGTATTTATATCCATCGACTAAGATGCACGGCTTGCCTTTTTCTGTTTAGAATTTTTTTTAATTTTGTAGATCCATTTTAATAATTGACACACTTTTTGACACTATACACGATACACTACATATGTTCACTCTATATGCGATACAAATCGCGAATGAAACATAAATACCAACATCCAACACCGATATGATGATATCGCTTATTAAGAAAATGTTATCTTTATTATCTTAATTTATTGCTTTACACCAAGTCGACGATCAGATAAAATTATAAAAATAAATATAAATACCAATGCTCACTCGTTCAATTTTGTATATGTATATAATATCATCAAACAAATAATATTGAGTATATTGACTTTAATATAATTTATAATACTATATATTTTCATTTTATTATGTATATGTATATTTAATATGTATATGCAATATATCGACTTATGACTATGTCAATAGAATTTTTTAATTATTATTATTATTTTATTACCTTAATTTTTATATGAACAAAAAAAATATATTGACTTATGACATATCTAATTTAGAAAAAAACAATTTTTAACCAAGCCAACGATTGTTTACAGTCCTAAGCCTGTAATAATTGGGAAGGAAAATTGTGAATTCATAGGTAATAAGTTTAAGTCGTCATAGACCTAATAACTAGTTATATGGTTCAAGTGCATGTATATGAAAATGTATTGTATGTATACATTATTTTATGTTGTATATAAATTATTATATATATTATATAGTATATAGTATAATATACACATATCATTTGGTGCGCAATGGTGTTGTGATTTTAACAGGTAAAAAGGATTTGGGGCGCAATCGTGTTGCAAATTTTTTGCGAAATCGTGGTGTAATTAGTCGGGTCAAAAATGGAAAATTTGCGCAATCGTGTTGCAGCGAAGAACTAACCACGGCTGTAGATAGGATACCATTTAACATAGACGATGTGCAACCATCCTATCTACAGCCGTGTGTGTGACCGCCCGGGTTTTCAGCGACGAAACATGGCACACATACACAATATCAGGTGTTACAACCTTACCAATCCTCAAGAACCTTTTAAAAAATGTATACGAAAATATCCCCAAATGGTACTAACTCCACACTCAATATAGCCTATGATGCCGTGGGGCCCCTTAATAAAAAAAAATGATACATAAATGTTAATAGAAGACAATTTATGAACAATGTAATAACTATTAAAAACTGTTTGATAGGCTACTAGGTCCTTAGAACTTTTTGAAGTCACAGAATATATTGCATTTAACTTTGTGTAGGAAGATTTTAAAATAACACATAAACTAAATTTTTAATTTTAATTAAAATTTAACATAAATTACAAGAAATGATCAAATAGATTAACAACTTTCTAGGAAATCTGAAAAGAACACTAAAATTAAAATAAATTAATCTCAGCTTAAGTCAAGCTCAGTTTCTAGTGCTCTGTCTTACCTAGTAATAAAAATAATTTAATATCAATTCATTATTAAAAACAGAATTTTTTCACTACAAATCTAATTCTAGCTAAGTTAACAGAAACTTCTTTAAATTTTGTATTAATTGAAATATAACTTGATGGTAATTAGTTTGTATTAATGTTACTAAACCAGTAATAAGTAATATGACTACACGGGTCTCTGAAAACAAAGATATTTTTAATTTTTATATCATTGCTCAAATAAATTTAGAAAAAAAACTATAAATAATAACACAATCTGGAAATTGTAATAGTTACTGATATTAAAATGTTCAACATAAAATTATAATATAGAATTATTCAATTGAAGAATATTATAATATTTTAATAAAACCAATGATAATGCGTCTTGTAATTGTGTATATATTTGTATCAGGCCTATACTGGTTATTACTTAGTTTTAGTAAAAAAAAATGAAATTTTAAAAATATTGCTTTTCAATATAACTTAAAATTATTCTATCGTTTTTATGCTCTAATAATATATTCATTCAATTATTCATATTTGGCATTTTTAATTAAGTTTATAGTTAACCTATTGCAACCATAAAAATATATTTATAATATATTACTTATTTTCTATGGAATTACGTATATATACGAACACATTGCATTGTTATTTATATGCAACCAGTCTTAAAGTAGTCATAATTAATAAATATCTATAGAATAGTCCAATAATACAAGGAACCTGTGAATAATATACACATGGCTAAATCACTAGATATGATCGCATTGGCACGCACTTTTGTTATGGGCTGTGCAGTGTGCACGAACTATTACGCAAAATACTATACATA